GTCAAAAGAAATGAAATGTAAAATGTCCCCAGATGAGCATCTGGTGGGATTTTTAGCTACAGACTAGACAGGAGGAGCTTGGTGGTGCATCTGCTCGGGTGAGGTGGGACTGGGACTCAGTTCACTGCCATCAATTAGTGTTTCAAGTGGCATGAAACCAGGTCGGCCCCCGGCTCGTTGCAAGATGCATGGAGGGTAAGAAAAGAACATGGGAGGATAGCTTGTGGTTGTGGCCGTACATATGTAGATTAAGCGTCTGTGAATTTTGTTCTGGTTTCGGTGGGGTGCGAGGGGTAGTTGGACACGAGCTGTCCTGCCTGCTGGCTGGGGTGGAGCTGCTTTTCCTGGGTCATTCGTGTCCTCTGTCCCACCATTTCCTTCCCCCTTGCACCCCGAAAGGTATGGTTCCCACACTCCTTGCTTGGGGCAAAAGCAAGGAGGGTTAGTTTTGGAGGTGAGATGGAGATGGGGAGCAGAAGGAGGGATGCAGAGGAAGGAGGTGCAATGTGCCAGCAGGGAGGTCATCCAAAAGCTAGGGAGGGAGAAGGGGGAGCAGGAGGCTGTGGAGCTGCAGCAGGCGTCGACTGCCCCACTCGGCTTTCTGCCCTGGGCAGCAGCCCCCTAGCCTAAAACAGCCAAAAATATTTTGGGGTTGTTTTCCAATAATATTTTGTTGTTGTTTATTTATTGAGCCTTTATTGACCAAACTTAATTTTGCAACCATGTTTAATTTATTTTGAGACTTGTTATACATTATAGATTAGCTTGCTTTCTCTCTTTGGCTTGGCCTACCCTTTTCAAAGACAAATGTTACTTTTGGCAAAACAGCTGCATTAAAGTTGATTCTCAGCCCTATGCTGCTCTCCAAACACTGAAATAGCCCGTTGGCAACCTGTGCTTTCTTTATATTAATTGCACTTTTAGTAACCCCTGTCACTACCTGAAACGAACAGTGTTCCTGGGCCATCATCAGCATTTCTGAATGTGTTTCCATAAACTTTGTGTTCCTGAAACGAGGACTTGTGCATGTTACGATGGCAGTGTGTGATCACTGCTGTTTTGTGATGTGTTTTGTCAAGGTACAGGGTTCCTGGAATTCCCACTGGGTTTTTCTCCTCTCCTACTCAGTATTGCTGAGATTAAGGTTTTCTTTGGGTCCAACGTTTCATATCATAGCAATACAGCAATGTTGTCTGCTTCTGTTGAGCCAGCAAAACTGCATCCCAACCAATAGCTTTTTTCTCTTTCAATATTAGAGGGCATGTGTCAGCCCGTATGTGGTCTGTGGCAGCTGAAAGGTATTTCTGAAAGTTACTCCAACCTGTGCACCTTTTTGCTTGTTACACGAGGTGCAGCAAGCTCTGAACTTCCTCATGAGCTCTCCTCACTGTTCAGAGAAGAGCTAGTTACGATCTGGGGTCAGGCTTTTGCTTTGTCTTGTTTTTCTGGAGGGCCCTGGGAAATGGGAGTGAGGGAGATGCAATCTGCAAAGCAAGGCAGGAGCTGAAGGTTTCGTGAGTAGCGTTTTCTTTGCGACATGAATACATACAGTAGTGCCGTGGGCGCTGGCAGGGCTTGTGTCATCGGGTCTCCGGGCAGCATGTGAGTTGTGGCACGCTGGTCAAGCCGCTGCCTGCCTGCTCAGCTGCCAGCCGCCCTCTCCTTGCATTTCTGGGTCATTTCTGTGGGATTTCTATTTCAACTGTTATCATACAGGGTTGGGTTTTTTCTTTTTTTCACCCCACTTTACTTATCATCTTAGAGCATAAATAAAATCTGCAACTCTCAGTGAAAGCGCCCTTAAAAAGCAACTGTCAGGTTTCCTGAACATGGAACATTGGTCTTAAATCTCTTAAATGGTCCTTATCCCGTGGGGAGTGATGCACCAGTCCTCCCTCTCACAGCAGCTCTTCACGTGCTGGGACACAGCAGTGGCCTCGGCTCAGGAGAGGCGCGATGTCTTAGAGCCCCACGGAGAAATGAGGATGCCAAACCTCTTGCAAAATGGAGTCTCCAGTGGGAAAAGATGTGCAAATAGGCGAGGGGAGGAGACTGATGTGTTTGACTTCAGCACTGAATCCACACTCTGAGGCTTCTGTGAATAAGAAGTAGCTACCTTTTATAGTCCTTGAAAAAGACAAAAATCAGATCTGTGATACAGCTTAAAAAAAAAAAAGTTTAAAAAAAAAATCTCTCCAAAGAAATTGTGCCACAGATCTTTTGTTTGTTTGTCTTCTGTACTGAGGATGAATTGCTGCGTGTGTGTGTATATATATATAAAAAATTAAAATATGAATTTTGACTTGCTTGTCTTTGAGTTCTTCAGATTAAAAAGATGTTGGTCAAAATTGTAAAGATGAAATGAAAAACAAGCTGCCTGGGGAGGCAGAATTTCTTGTTTCGCTGATCTGAAGCTGAAATGTCTCACTCTCCCCTGTGCTCTGCTCACACACAGTTGCACAAGCGCAGTCCCTGGGTGCAGCTTCGCTCGGAGGTGAGGGTTGATGTGGCCATGCAATGTGTGATTGTGCCGCACATCTTCCTTGATTTGTGGCTGAGTTTCTTGAAATATTCAACAGCATGAACTTGCCACTGTCTTCACCTCATTGCCACCTTTTGAAGGAAGGTATCAAAACGGTGTGTTTCAAGTTTTTTAACCTTGAAGTTTGAAATTGGGGTGTCCATCCTGATGCGACTGTGATGCTGGGGTTCATTTGTAAGTACTACTTTGGCAAAATACTCCAGCATGTTTCCAAATCCCATTTATTTTGCCTGAGACTGGGGCATGTTTTACTGGGCCAAGTGTCCTCGGGATCTCTGGATACCTAGTACATATGTGTTTTCCTTTTTTCCTCTCTCTTAATGACTACATGCATAGTAGTCCCATGCTGCCTCTGTCTTTTGGTTGATAACATGAAAAAGAAGAGAGAATTAGTCTTCTGTTTTACCAGTTCATTTTGTCTGACAGCTTTGACATTCTTTCAGTGAGGAAATCTTTAATTAAGGGCGGTTACTAACCTTCTGCTAAAAACCGGTCATCAGTGGGTATGAATCGGCACCACGCACATGCAGAGGCATGAATCTCAGCCTGACCCCAAGGGGTTGGAGATAGCAGCGCTCCAGCTCCGAGGCCATGATGAGGGCTAATGACTCCATCAGGGCTGTGCTGTGTGTTGCTGTGGCCACGGGCTTTACAGAGCAGGGCAAGTGTATGCCCCCATCAGCTTTCCTTTTTTCCCCCTCTGATAGGCTCTAGTGGAGGGAGCGTTGGCATGCCTCAGAGCAGTGTTGGTGCCAAGGTCAAACTGGCTTCCTCTGAAAGCCAAAGTGCGCGTGCGTGCAGGCATTGCAAGCAGGAAAAGAGAGTGCATGGAGCAGAGGGGCTAGCCCTCGTGGGAGCATGGAGTTGTAGATCTTTGGTGGTAATTCGGTAAGATGGATTATGGTTAGCTGACTGAGGGGTGCTCCAGCAACCCACGTTGGGTGGGGAGTGATAAAAAGCAAGGAAACCAGCTGGGGGGAAGCAGAGCCAGGTGTGAGGAGATGGAAAAGTAAGAGGTAAGAGAGAGAAAGAGGCATGGCGGTCTCTTGGAGGTAAAAGGAAGACCTTGGGAACCAAACGGCAGTAGCGAGAGCAGCTAGGATGTCCACTAAGGACGGGAAGAAAGAAGGGCTGTTTGGCTCTGCTCTTCCATTTCTGTCCTTTCTGTCCTGCATTGAGCAAGATTTTGGCTGGGGAGCTGGCAGCTGCTCCCCAAAAAGAAAAGTGAGAAGTGGGAGGAGAAAGTTGCCACGTGGCGTAACGTGCAATGACAACGTGACATCTAAATGCAATCATATTGGCAGCTGTAATGTGCTGTTTGTTTCATCTGGCGGCTGTTGTGTTGGAGATCTGACTCAGACTGTGTCAGCACAGTGCATGGATTTGCAATTACTTTCTCCCAGCAGTCCGTGCTGAGTTAGGTATGCTGACTTGCACCGTCCCATTTTTTTTTCTTTCTTGGAAAATGTGTGTAGGGGAAGATAACTTGCTTATGATTCTTGGCCCGAGTTAAGTCTTACCTGTCAAGCAAATGAAGACGCAAACGTTTCTCGTTGGCTATGTAACTAGAGCCATGCCTCGCTGCCACTCCCAGGAACAGCTATAGCTGCATAGTTGCCTGCTTAGAGTATTAATTTTCAGGACCATTAATTTAATAAGCATCAGAGAAATTCTCCTGTGGGACGCTGCCAGGCAGCAGGGGTGCTTCAGCAGCCAGGCAGGCAGCCGTAGCCACGCGTGCACTCTCTTCATCGAAGCCCGGTGCATGTGTATCTTACTATCTCTGTCAGGACGCTGGCTGCCACACCAGCTAACGCAGGTTGTGTGCACTCATTGAAAGAGCGAGTCACCGTTTTGGTGGAAAACTTGTGGCAGGTATTTATTTGCATGGGCTTTTTGCTTGAAGTGATGGAACACGACAACCCCTGCAGACCAGACAAGTCAGATGGCAGAAATTACGTAGCTGCCTGTTGACTTTTTTCTTTATGTGTGCTGGAACAGCTTTAAAATGAAATTGTCTGGAACCCAAGGAATTGCATTAAAATGCCACGAAGTGGCAGCAACACCAACCTTGCTGACAGAGCCAGGAAAGAATTACAAATACACGTTTCATCTCCTGGCTCGGAGTGCTTTATTTGCTGCCAGTTCCAGTCAACAGAACATGCAAAAGTTTAGAAAACAAATACAGATGTGGTAAGAGCAGCCAGCAAAAAATTGAAGTGGAGCATCTGGAATAAAGTACTTGGGTTTGCAAAACTGTTCACTGCAGCGATGCTGAAAATAGTTTTAAAAGCAGTTTCAGCCTAAATGAAGATAGAAAGCCCCATTTAACTGTGGGAGTAATCTGGAGTTACGGACTTTCCAGGCATTTGTTCTAATTAAGCTTAAACAGGTTAATTGGCTGAATTTTTATTGCCTGATTACAACTTGTTTGTAAAATGAATCTCACTGTCATTTGGTGTCGGAGCCGTGGTCCCATCACACAAGATCACGCTGAGCATCCTGCAGCTGCTTTCAGCAGAGTGGACATGCAGCAAACGAGGTAAACACAACTGCTTCTGTTTCTCATTGTGGTTCAGGGCAGTTACGTGGGGCTGGAGTTGTTGGGAAGCTGCGCAATCAGTGTTGCATTCTGAGCACTCAATTTTATCTTTAACAAACCTTTATTTACTCAGGAGTTTTCCTGAGTCGGTGAGGCCTGCCCCCCACTGCTCAGTGTTTGCCATTGGTAGAGGTTTTTGCCTGTTGACGTGAATTTTCTCATGCAGCTTGTTTCCAACTCCTAGAAGAGATGGAATCACTCCAGAGTCAAAATGCTGTTGCAAGTGGATGTAGGACATAGAACTGAGGTCATGCAGTCAGGACACAGGAAGGCAGCCCGATTTTAGGTAAGTGCACACAAAAGTTCAGAGCAGCAAAGCGATCTCATAAAATTTCCTGGGGCTTTGATAGCCTTATTGCTGCTGGACTGTCTGCATCTCTATTGCTAGCACTTGAATGCAGTTGGATCGAGCATAGAGGAAGAGGCTGTTGAGCCCGAGTGTTGGTTTCAGAATCTGCTGCCAGTCATGCTGGCGGCAATTGTGCTTTTATTTAATTATCTTGACTTCCCACTGCTCTAAAAAAAGAAGTGTGGTACCAGATCAAGAGCAAGAGAAGTTCCTTGGTTTTGATGAATAAATTGCTTCTGACGTGTTCATTGCCCTACGTGCGTGCATGCTACAAAGGTTAACAACACTGACACTGGAGTAACTGCCCCCAAATCCAACCGCACCTGAAAGAAGATCCTGGAAACAGACAGGGGATCTCTCCAGCGCCTGGCTGGGATCATTGTTACCTCCTGCTTCTGTGCAGCAGCCGGAGGCCGTTGGTTGATTGCCTGTTGGTTATGTTGCATAAATACATGGTGTGTGCAAAGCCCCCTGCGAAGGCTTGGTTATTTGCAGGGCTGCATCCCCCTCTACCGGCGGACATTTCGGTGAAATCATTTTCTCTCAGCCAGTGTTCAAACAGGAGGAAAGTCTGTAGTCTTTCTGATGGGACTAAGAGTGCATGCATATATTTTGCTTACGTTTTAAAACATGCAAGTAGCACGTGCATCGCCTTCTAAAGTCTTCTGTCCACATCTGAATATTTTAGCAGGATAGACAGTTTTACCACAAACATGGCTCTATTAGGAATGAGATGGCTTTGGGGAAGAGCAATATTAAAAAGTATTCCAAGCTGTGAAAGTATAACCAAATTCTTGCAATCCCCTTTGAATGTAAATAATAAGGTATGAATTTAAGATTATTTTGAAAGGACATATTTTACAAAATTGAAATAAACACTAGTACATGCAAGATCCTTGCATCATCGTGGTGTTATGGCATGTCCTGAAAAAAATACAATCAGAAATTACTATTTTAATGTAGCGATCAGAAATCTAACTTAAAGGGAAATCTTTGCCTTTGTATTGATCTTCCATACATAAAAGTGCTCAGACTAAAATTTCCTGAAGACAAATATGGCTGTGGGTGGCACAGCAGATGATGCGCTGCCCTTGGCAGTGGTATGGTTTGGGAGGAATTGGGAAGCCACAGTCCAAGTCCTGAGGTGAGGAGCAGCGTCGTGCATGAGGGCTGCTGTGTGGCAGCAGGAGAGGGAGCAGACGGGGAGGTGGCGTGTCCCAGAAGCTGGGGCGGCAGCGGGGTGGACAGGCAGCAAGGGTGACTGGCTGCACACATGTGACTGGAGGTACACGGCCAAGGGGGTTGGTCAAGAGTTGTCCAGGGTCTGGTCTTGCTCCTCCTGGAAGCCCATGACATGGTTAAAATCAGCAGGCTGGAAACTTCGATGTGAGTAACTGTGACCACGCTCGATTCTTCCAAAATTATTTTTTTCTTTGTGTTTAAAGGATGTACTAATAGACATCTGTGAGTTTATGATTTTTATGGGTGAGGTCAAGGCTTTTAGATGCAGGAAGAACAACATTAACAGAAGCAGTAACAATTCCACATTTGGGATCAGACGTGCATCGTGTTTAGATGCAATGATCTCATGACCCTGAATGTTTAAAGACTTTGCTATCGCAAATCCTGGGTTTAGTTTTAAATTAGAAGACGTGGTGGGAGTTAGGGCCTGCTGCCACTGGAGGGCTGCCTCACCACGGGGAACCGGAGTGGGCTGCTCTGTTCCCTCAGCCTGGGGGAGGTTACTTCTTTGTCATCATTATCCTGTTGCCAGTACTGGAAGAAAAACGAGTTTGCTGGTGTTAAATCACAACAGCTTTATATGCAGGTAAGTCATTACAGTTTGTTGCAATAGTAATCCTATACTAATTTGTTTATGATACTTGGACATCATTATCACATTTCCAGCAATAGTGTTTCTAAAAACAGTTCTGCACAAAGTATTTGTAGTTCTGGTGCCATCTAAGATTAATAATGTGGACACCGCTGTACTGGCAACAGGGTTGTTCCTTGTAAACCTTTTCTGCAGTTTTCCTGCCAGCCCTTAACAATACACCTGAAGAAGCCTGAGCACAAATGTTGTTGGGGGGGGGGGGCAAACTGTCTTACATCGTGTTCAGACCTAGTACCATTTGACTTCCAGCTACAGGGTCGACAGCAGAGGTACAGAATCCTTTACTGTAACCTTATTTCCCTGCTGAACACACGTGTCTCCCTTTGGTGCTTGGTGCGCGATTAGTGTCTGTCTTACAGTCGTGTTCAGACCTAGTACCATTTGACTTCCAGCTACAGGGTCGACAGCAGAGGTACAGAATCCCAGCACATTTACTGTAACCTTATTTCCCTGCTGAACACACGTGTCTCCCTTTGGTGCCTGGAAGGCGATTGCTGTCAGTGTGGTCCAGATGTGCGCGAGTTACAGGCTGCACCCATGGGTGCTAGCACTTTCCCACCAAGAGGAGAAAAGTATCGGCTGGCAAGCACCACTGCCAGGCTACTTGGTATTGTGGTCAGTGTTTCTTTGTGGAAAACTTGCCTTTATTTTTTTTTCTCTTAAGTTTTCTTGTTAGCCAGGACATCCATAGAAGAACCTGTTTGGTCCCAGAGAGGGAACCTGCACCTCTTCTTTCCACCCCTCCTAGCCAGATCAAGAGCCAGAAGTACCACAAGGGTGACCGCATCCTTGCATGGGGGCAAGGGTGGCAGCAGGGCAGTATGGCTCACAGCTGTTAACGCAGGATTTTCCCTGCTGACAAAGGGGCCTACTCTGCAGAAGCAAAAAAATACTCAGTGTTGTAATGTTACCCACAATAGCATGCTCCAGTCATACTAGAAACAAGGTGCTTTGAAGTACAAATGTTTTATTGCAATGTTTCATTATTTACAGTACCGTTCACTTTGTCCCTGGGTGCTACCAAAGTGCAAGCCATTTGAAACAGAAAAGCTAAATGATGGTAATTGAACAGCAAAACATGGCTGTGCCTTATGCTCGTACTGTCCTGCCTCTTCCCTGGTACTGAATGCAGAGAAGTTTGCTGTTCTCCCTGGTCACCTGGAACAACCTGGTAGCGTGAAACTTTGGTCACAAAGGATTGTCAGTTGGTTTGTTCAAGGTGATGCAGGAACGAGAATCTGCAGTCTTTCCAGCTGGACTTTACTCGGAATTCAGGGTTTCTGACTGCGTAAGACGCCGCCTTTGTACACAACACTGTCAAGTTCCTATTTCAATTTTTAATATAAGTACTGGTTTATTTCCAATTCTTTTTGTTGCTGATTCTCTTTGGTCTATGTAAGCTTTAAGTCATCTACCTCTTTTGAGGCTAGATCTTCCTTGCTTAACTACCTTAAAAGAGCCAATACCTCTAGAATTACCATAGAGTTGCCACTGGATACTGAAATCGGAGATGTCATCTCCTAGAGTTGCATTTAAAGGTCTTTACAGAGTACTGCAACTTTTATTATTATGTGTTTCCATTTTGTATAAAAATGGTGATTCAGACGCCACCGAAGCCTACATTTCACACACTATCATTTCAAAGTAGGACAAATTACACTGGTTACTTCAGGAATGATCTCTCAACAGAAACTTGCCTTTTGGGGGGGGATAGTTACTACAAATTTTATTGAAGACTTGAGAATTCCAGTGGCTAAACTCAGGTCAAGAACCTTTTCAGCTTTCTAACAAGTGTATTAGCTTGAGAAAGTACTTTGAAAGACAGGTTTCAGACTGAGTACCCGTCTGCCAGCAGTCCCTTGGGAGGTGGACACTGAACTTCTCTACTCCAGTTATCTTAGTGTGCAACAGGAATGTCGTTACCTTCTAAAACTTGAGACGCTTTGTGTTACAGAGCTCTTGTACAATTAGGAAATGTTTAAGACTACATTCCTGAAAATAAGTTACATTAAATGGCACTCGAGTCATCCAGAAATCATGTAGCAGGGCTGTTGGGTCAGGCTCAGCAGTAGTAACTGCTGCTCTCTCTCCTCACCCCACGCCTGGTTCACAGTTCAATGATGAGTCCCTGCAACAGCTGTGTCAAATGATTCTGAAATTACAACTTGTCAAAAATCGGATGATTGCAGCTCTTGGCAGGTTTTCTCCTGTGAGTCACACTTTTATTCCATGTTTTCACAGGCTTTTCTGTATGACTATTGATAGAAAGCCACCAAAAGCTTTACAGTTGCAGAAGGTAACATTTTCACAAAGAAAATGTATTGGTTTTATTTCTTAACCTACCATACAAAACACGGTGTTTAAAAGCTCTGCAGTGCCTCCCTACTATCATTCTTCGGGAATTTGGAGGAGGCAGCAGAGCTCACATGCAGTCAACAACGTTGCTGGATCCTTGGCCTACATCCCGGATCTGGCTGCTGGGACAAGAGCACACAGCCACGCCCGCCCCTGCCCTGCAGTGTGACACAGAGCCGACAAGTTCCCACCTAAAGAAGATGGTAGAGGAAAAAAAGAAAAGTAAGTTCCTGTCCTTTCTGAGCAACTTGAAAGTATTTCTTTTGTGTCTGAAATTGTTATACAGCCTAGCTGTTTACTTTGCACAAAAATACACCCCGCTAGCTTATTCTTGTTATTTCTCTGATAAATTTATTGCAAAATCAGATTGAAACAACCAGAAGAATGTAGATTCTTATTGAATGAAGGGAAGAGGACAAGGGATGGAGAGGAGGGGGAGGAGGAAGTGCTTATATATTTACAAGAAGAACCGAGTGGCATAAGCAGCATTCCTGCATCGCAGTCACGGATATTACTCAATTATTACCAGGAATCAACAGATAGACTCCTGCTGCACACTATTTCTATTATATTGTGTTTTCATATAGGCAGATTTCATTGTCTTATTAAGCCAAATAAAAGATTTTACATTACCTATTCACTATGGGATCAAATGCTTCCACTGTATTCAGGTACGCATTGCCATTATGACCTCCCACTGCAAAAATTTTACCCATCAGTGTCGCTATGCCAACGCCACCCCTTGGAGTTGTAAGCTCTGCTACATATTCCCATTTGTTACTGCGTGGGTCAAACCGTTCCACTGAGCTCAGTGGAGAGTTGTCATCAAAGCCACCTGCAAAGAATCATCACATTATCAGTTTTTAGCCACTTCTAGTGCTGGTGATATCCAGGACTGGCATTATCAGGCTACTCTCAGCATTCAGTGGGCTAGCTCTATTTCTTTACAGGAATTTTACAAGCTCCTAAAAATTAATCTAACAGCTCTCCCTCCTGCCACCGTACAAGCATCACCAAGAGTGACAATTTTCTTCTACTCAAGTTGCAAGGAGAGGTATTTCTATTATTTTTCTCCTTGAATTCATCTTACACATAGTTATAATGAAACAGCTTCTAATTTGGAATAGAAAAAACCTAAGACCAGTAAAAGGATGGTCCTCATCTTATTCTGGCTTAAGCAAAACACACTCTTGCGGTGTTTTCAAATTACAGCATTGCTCAATAATTGAGTAGGAAAAAAACATCCTCAAGTAAGACTTCAGTGATGCATTCCCCTTGCTGGGGCAGCTGTCAGAGGAGCATTTTACTCAAAACTTTTTTAATCACTTTTATGATAATAAACAAGGCAGAGCTCTGCAACTATCACTACGGCATACCTACCTGGCATCTTCCTCCCTCAGGAAAGTGGGTAAATGCAAGGTAGAGCAGAACAAGACAGGCCTAGGACAACAGGCTGTGGAATAACTGTAATCACTGTGCAAAAAAGCTACTGTTGTCTACACTCAGAATAGAATTAGGGTGCTTTAAAAGTGTGTGAACTTAAGAATCATTTTCCTAAAGGGAAACTCAAGATTAGTGAGTCTCGAGAGGATTTTCTATATAGACATATTGTCCTGAACAGTAGAGCCCT